TCTGCTGGCAGCCGAACCTCCGCTGGCAGCCGAACCTCCGCTGGCAGCCGAACCTCCGCTGGCAGCCGAACCTCAGCCACACACAGAGAACGGGAGCGGCATATGCAGTGCAAGCAACAGCAGCAGTAGCGTTGAACTGGACAGCAGCAACAGGGACAGTGGCGCTGCCAGTGGAAATAGCGCTGGCAAAAGCAGCAGCAGGGAAGGGAGCAACATAGGCAGTGGAAGCGACCGCTGTAGTAACACTGAACATGACAGCAGCAACAGGAAAGACATTCCTGCCAGTGGAGCTAGCAGCAGAAGTAGCAGTAGGAGTAGGCGTAGTAACTCTGACATTAGCAGCAATGGTAGTAGCAGTAGTAGTCGCAGCTGTAGCAGCAGCAGCAGCAGCGCAAGTATCAATGACAACTGTTCCAGCGGCAGCTACGGTAGCAGAGGCAGCAGAAGCCAGCCCACATTGAACGGGGGCGGCACATTCGATAGAGTCACAGGTGGCACTCTCCGATTGGAGAGCAGCAAGGGCGATGTGATTGTAGTGAAGGAGGGCACATGGGAGGGTGGCATCTTCAGCTTTCTCGAAGAGGTGAGCTGCTAGGGGCTTTCAAAGCTTGGAGTTGGGAGATGGTGCTTTCAGCATTCAGGCGATGTGATGTGACTATGCCCTCATCCCGACTTCCCACCCTTCCCCCCACCAACAGCACCTGCAGCAGCACCAGTGTGCCACACACGAGGCAGCGGCTTTGCCTTTCGACTTCTGTGGCGGCTGGGTTGGCTATTTTGGGTAAGTCAAAGGGTTTGGCTATTTTGGGTAAGTCAAAGGGTTTGGCTATTTTGGGTAAAGCCAGTGGGCCGGCTATTTTGGGTAAGCCAGTTATAGGGTGGACCAAGCTGCAGTGGTGCTTCCATAACGTCTTTCCGAGTTAAGGGTTTTGGTTTGTTGGTTAAACCTGTGGGTCCGAGGTACTCCCATCCGATGCCTTGCTGTTTGTGCGTGCCTGCAGGTGGCTGCTGAAATGGAGCGGTAGTGTGGTGTTGGAATAAGTTTGTTTTGTTTAGGCGCCTCAATAACAAACTTATTCAACGTGCTTGCCGTTTGTGGAGCGGTAGTGTATGACGTGCTTTGAGCCGATTTAAAAGTGGACCATGGCAGAAGGGACGTTTTCATGTGCAGTGAATGTTTTTGAGGCGCCTCAAAAACGACCTCAATGCACGTGTGTGACGTGTTTTGAGCCGATTTAAAACACGTTCATGTGCAGACCATGGCAGAAGGGACGTGTTCATGTGCAGTGAATGAGAGGAGACTCATTCATTGCCATGCCATTTGCACTCAAAAGTTTTACTCCATGCCTTGCCATGCCATGTGCGACTGACTGTGAATGCTTGCAAGTACAGCCGAGGAGGGAGTGCTGGGCACAGCACAACCGTTACAGGTCGGCCTTCCCTGACGCAGTATCGTACCGTCATATGCCTTGACCCGCCCATGTCACACCTTGCCTTACCTGCATGCAGGTACGAGCTGAAGAGGGAGTGCGGGGCGGAGCACAACCGTCACTGGTCCCCCTTCCCGGACGCGGCTCTCTTCTGTGTGGACCGATGGGTGGTGCTGGATCATGGGCGAGGGGATGTGTATGTGTGCGCTGTGGAGGAGAGTAGAATGGGGGAAGAGGGTGGGGAAAAAGAGGAGGAGAGGGGGAAAGATGTGCTCAGAAGTGGGGGAAGAGAGGAGATGGGTGAGGGGAGAGGAGAGAGTAGGAACGAGAGCAGGAGTTGCAGCGGCGGTGGTACAAGTGCCGGTGCGTATGCCGATCATGTGCTTCGGTGCGGTGCAGATAAGGGAGAATGGGGAGGGGCTAGAGGAGGGGAGGGCGAGAGGAGAGGACGGGAGAGAGTAGGGGACAGCAACAGTGTAGAGGAAACGGATGGGTGCAGATGGGTGGCAGAGACGAGTGAGAAGCTGACAGCTCTGGTGGAAGCAGAGGAAGCGGCAGCAGCAGAGGCAAGGGCCACGCAGACGAGTTGTAGCCAGGGAGATTCAACAGAAGCTGTAGAGGGTTTGACAGAACACTCAGTTAGAGGGGATTCCGCAAGAGAAAATGCAGAGGGGCTTACAGTTCTGTCAGAGCCCCTGGTGCTGGAGAGGTGTAGAGAGCGGTACAAAGTGGATGTGGCACGCTGCCTGGGGGAGATTGCTAAAGGGGAGAGCTATGAGCTGTGCCTCACCACCCGCCTCGAGAGTGAATCTCAGCCGTCGGATCCGCTGGGGGCGTATCTGCGGCTGAGAGAGCAAAACCCTGCTCCATTTGCTGCGTGGATGTGCATGGGTGAGATTAGTCAACACACAATGGGTGAGATAAGTCAATACTCCATGGGCGAGGAGAGAGAGGCGGGATTGAGGATGGGGGTGGACGAGGAATGGAAAGAGGAGGAACAGGAGGAGGCGCTGGGAGTGAAGGAAGCGCCGAAGTGTGTGGGGGAAGAGGAGAAGCAGCAGCAGCCACAGCACCACGACCAGCAGCACGACCAGCATGCTGTGCTCCGTGCCCCCTTTGCCGTCTGCTGCTCCTCCCCAGAGCGGTTCCTGCGGGGCGACAGGAGGGGCATGCTGTGGGCCAAGCCCATCAAGGGCACCGTGAGACGCGGGGCGACGGAGGAGGAGGATGAGCGGCTGAAGAGGCAGCTCATGTGCAGGTGAGGAGAAGTAGAGGTTCATAGAGTAGCCTGCTGTGCTGTGGGCGAAGCCCATCAAGGCACTGTGAGGCGCGGAGCAACGGGGGAAGGAGGATGAGGAACTGAAGAGCGGGCTCATGTGCAGGTGAGAGTGTTTAGGATTTAAGCAAGAGGTTTTCCCTTTTCGGTGCGAAATTGCGGTCGCATAAGGAGAGGCAACCTGTGGGCGAAACTGATCAAGGGCACTGTGAGACGCGGGGCAACAGAGGAGGAGGATGAGCGGCTGAAGAGGGGGCTCATGTGCAGGTGAGGAGACGTAGAGGCTTAAGTGGAATAGAAGGTGAGTGTTTACAGTTCAGGTAAGACGTTGTTCTTGTAAAGGGAGGGAAGGAGGTTGCATAGGAGAGGCATGCTGTGGTCGATTCCCAATCAGGCCACCATGACAACAAATGCTAAGGCTGACGAGACCCTCAGGAGGGAGGGAGATTATGTGCATGCGAGCAACCTGTGGAGTTGATCTCCACGGAAGAGGCTGGAGTTTTTGTACCTCTTGAAGTGAGACGAGTTTTGAGGCGTCTCAAAACTTGTCTCATTGCAGGCGAGCAAAAACTGGAGGTCATCTCCAAGGAAGGGGCTGGAGTTTCGTGCACCTTTCTCTTGCGTTTGTGTGCCATGCTTGCACCTTTCGTCCCACTTTGTTTGCTCTGCTCCTTCCAATCTCTCCCGACCCATCCCAACCGCTCGGCCTCTGTCAGTGACAAGGACCGGGCAGAGAACCTCATGATCGTTGATCTTCTGCGAAACGATCTCGGGCGAGTCTCAACCGTTGGATCGGTGCATGTCCCGTCGCTCATGGCCGTTGAATCTTACGCCACTGTTCACCAGCTCGTGAGCACTGTAGCAGCGCAGCGCCGCCCGGACCTCTCCCCGCTGGCCTGCATCCGGGCGGCGTTTCCGGGCGGCTCGATGACTGGGGCACCGAAGATAAGATCTATGGAGATCTTGGATGAGATCGAAGGGTCGGCTAGGGGACCTTATTCGGGAGCCTTGGGGTTTGTTTCGTTTTCGGGCACCTTTGATTTGAATATTGTGATACGAACGGCTGTGATGGGTGGAGAGATGGGGGATGGATTGGAGAGGGAGGAACAAGCAGGGGAGGATGGGGAGGCAGAGGAGGGGGGTGTGAAGACCTGGGAAAGGGAGGGAGGAGGAGCGAGTGAAGAAGAGGAACGGATAGAGGGTGAGGGAAAGGGGCAAGCAAGAGAAGCGGCTGTGGGGCGAAAGAGGGGCAGACGAAAGGGCAGGACGATGATTGGAGCAGGAGGGGCAGTGGTGATGTTATCGCAGCCAGAGAGTGAGTTTGAAGAGATGGTGCTTAAAGCGAGGTCTCTGGTGAGAGTGCTGCGACCGGATGGAGCTGATGATTTGAACGGGGTGTGATTAGCCCGATGTGATTGGCCAATGAGGACGTACGGGGTATCTGCTTCTAATCATCTTCACTCATGGGGTGGAAATGCGGAGATATTTTTTCTGGAAGTCTAGGCACTTCACGGTTGCCGGTTCATTGTGGCCAAACATGATCCTGACTTTATGGCCACGTTTAAATTTGTTATGATTATTTTTTTAGCGCAGTTGATCTGGAAGATAGCCATGCTCTCTCTGTTGCTATAACGCGAATATTGCTGGGGAAGCAGCATTTTCCATCCACCTCAGCATCCTACGCAGACACGTGTAATCTCCTCACATTTGGCGTGAATTCCGACGAAAGATCAGTGGAACATAATCTCTTCACAAGCAACAAGGGAGGTTTTCCATAACCCATGGTGGTGAAAGTCGCTCGATATTGCATCCTGAAGGCGCAACGTCGTCAGGGCTCGGCCGGAACGAATTGAGAAAGCCAGTCTCGAATGTGTAACATTCAGTTGGCGAAAACAGTCGTTCATAATGTCACAGGGCAAGCGCTGCTAAATTTCCTTAGCGTATGTAGCGGGCTTCGCGCGTATTAAATTCCCCTCTAAAAAACAGGCCTCTTACAAGAGTAGGTTCAATTTCTGAAGATCCTCACCACAGAAAAACACGACCTTACAGCAGGACTTGCCGAGTCACAGCAGCATCCATGCCTGCGTTGGCGATAGCAGCAACTTCGGAAACAGCTTGACACAGCAACTTAGGATGCAATGCAGTGCATGTGACCAACGCGTGGCCGCACCCCTCGTCTCGCATCTTCACTCTCGTTAGAAACAAGATTCCTCGAAACTCCCGAGGCTCATCTTGGCTGATATTCTTCTACTAATTTCCTTCTCGATTTAGGTTCTTACTTCCTTGGTCATTCTATGGCTGCCTGCTTTCGCCTAGTTCCGACTGCTACTTGCCGCTTGGTACGCGAAATTTCGGACGCTTTTCACGAACGTTCATTGTTCAGTATCATTTTTCCAGCTTTTAAATATTCGCCACGCTGTGCTCGCCACCTTCGCTTGCCTCATCGTGCGAAAGATCATCTCTTCCGTTTCGTGCAGGATCTGCAGAACCGTGCCGGGCCCATTCTGTTCAGCGGCGCCTCATCTGCTTCGTCCACTCCGAAAGCACTCAGGTCCGCCATCGTGACCTTGACTGACCGTAGGGAGCCTTCGTGGTGCACCGAACAGTGACCTATTAGCTACAAGCTCGTGGAGCCATTCGTATAGTGACCGTGACTCGGAAGCCATTCGTTAAATCCCTCTATTCTATTGACGACACAGAAGCTGGTCCTGCGGTAGCTCCACGTGCTTCCTCGGCTCCTCTGTGCTCTCTCTCTTTCCGGACGAAGAACTTTAGGTTATCTCAAGAGTCACGTATTTTTCCCTTATGCTTTGTTATTTTTGTTGACGGCTGTGACCCCAGCTCAGCCCAGTTCCTGGATTTTTCTCTGTTCCACCTCTCCCTTGGCATCGCACTGTTGAGACCTCTCAACAGTCGATCACTCCCTTCTCTCTGTCGCCTGTTGCAGCTTGGGCAACTGCAGATCAGCGTAGTTTCTCGGCTCTTCTGCTCCTTCTCTTTCTTGGCGAAAAAACTGTTGAAACGCTCAGTCAAATCCGTATCCCTTCTCTCTGTCGCCTGCTGCAGCTTGTGCAACTCCAGATCAGCCCAGTTTCTCGGCTCCGCGCTGCTCCTTCCTTCCCTCGGCGGCGAGGGGGCGTGGTCCAGGCAAGCAAGCAGCGCGAGCCGTGCACACCGCCGCTCCTGCAGCACGTTCGTCCACGCCATGGCCGCAGGTAGGCAAGAAATTATGTGAGGGGTGTGGTCGTGGCAAGCTAGTAGCGTCAGCCGTGCCCATCGCCGCTCCTGCAGCTCGTTCGTCCACGCCATGGCTGCAGGTACTGCGTGTGGTGCTGACGTGGTGAGTGGGTGGGTGTGGTCGCGGCTGCAGGTACTGCATGTGGTGCTCAAGTGATGGGTGGGGCGTGGTCCAGGCAACCGCTATTCCCCCTTGTTGCTACCCCCTTCCCCAACAGCTGTGCTGCCAGAGAACAGCCCCGTGGTCTCCCCTGCCTGGCTGCATGACAACCTCTCCAAAGTCAAGGTGCGTATAGTGGGTGGTGTGCTGACTCCACGAGGTGGTAGGTGGTGGTGTGATAGCATCACGAAACAGTGGGTGGTGGTGTAGCATCACAAGGTGGTATGCGACGTGGTAACATCACAAGTTGGTGTTGGTGCAGCTGTATCACGAGAATGTGTGTGGTGTGGCAGGATTACGAGGAGGTCGGTGGAGTGGTAGATGTTACAAAAAGATTGGTGTTGTGGCAGGATCCTGAGAACCCACCTTCTCGTGATATTTTCACACCATCAACCTTCTCGTAATCGTGCCACTCCACCTACTTCCTCATAGTCCTGCCACACTACTCACCTTCTCGTGATCCCAGCACACCATCCACCACCCCAGGATGTTACCATACCACCCTCCTGCTGTCTCATCTAACGTTCCGCGGATTCCCGTACTACCGCCGCACCTGTGCAATATACATTCTTTGATACAATGTCTTGCGCCGTGTGCTGCACATGCATGCGTGCGTGTTTTGATGCTGGCCCCCCCTTTTCCCCTTCTCAACCAACCCCTCGACTGATCAACAGCTGCTTGACGCCTCGTGGTGCATGTCTGCGATATGCCCTTCAAACGCTCCTTCCCTAAAGCTCAACGCACCACTTCACACGCTGTCCCCTCCCCCTCTTCACCCCCCAACCCCAACAGGTGCTCGATACCTGGTGGTACATGCCTGCAAGGAAACGCCGCCTCCTTCAACGCTCCATCCCCGTGTCTCGGCCCTCCGCCCCTCTTTACCCACCCCACGCCCTCTTCCCCCCTCTTAACCCCAACAGGTGCTAGACTCGTCGTAGTACATGCCTGCTGAGAAGCGCCTTGGCCTACTTTTGAGTCGACTAAAAAATAGGCTTTTGAGTCGACTCAAAAATAGGCTCTTCCCCCCTCTTAACCCCAACAGGTGCTAGACTCATCGTAGTACTTACCTGCTGAGAAGCGCCTTGGCCTACCTGAAAATGCTATTTCCCCCTCAATGCTCAATGCCCCACTCCTCGCCCTGTTTTCCCTCTTATCACGCAGACCACGCAGGTTCTAGACGCCTCGTGGTACATGCCTGCAGAGAAACGCCTCTCTGTTCTTTTCTCCTCATTCGCCTTCTCCTCATTCGCCTCATCTCATCGCCTGCATTCCCCTCAACCCCACAACCAACCAACCCCAACAGGTCCTGGACGCCTCGTGGTACATGCCTGCAGAGAAACGCCAGCCGTTTGAGGAGTTCCAGGTGAGGAGTGTTGTTGGTTGTCTGTGTGCCACAAAAAGCATCATGTTTTTTTGTTGATAGCAGAAAATGTGTTTGTTTAGTGTTGGAGTTCTTGGCGATGAGAATCAGGTCTTGCTGTGCAAATACTGCTGTTTCTGGTGAGATACGGCTACTTCTGGTGAGAAGGTGACTTTTGAGTCGACTCAAAAGTCCATTCGTTTGTTTGGTGTTGGAGATCTTCGGGATGAGAAACAGGTTTTGATGTGCAAATACGGCTACTTCTGGTGAGGATTTCGAGTGTGGACATGTGAGTGATGCCTCTGGATTCTGGGAAGCGGATGAAAGACGGTGTGATAGTTGGACAGAGAGAACGTGTTTATGGTTCTGGATGATCGTTCTACTCGAGTTTTGAGAGGTAGAGGAGATTGTCAGGCATATGTCACTGTCTTGCTGCCCTGCAATCAGTTTTAACTGCTAAAATATGCTTTTTATTTGTGTCAAAATTTAAAAGTTTCCTGTGGCGTCCTCTCTATTTCTTTCTCCCTGTCTTACGAGCGCAGCATGGGAGAATTCCAGGGGCGATCTTCTTTGACATTGATGCCATTGCTGACCCCACCACGGATGTAAGTGTGACACTTAGTTAAGTTTCTGATCCTTAAGTGTGTGAAGGTGTTGCTTGCATGAATGAATTCAATGGTGACGTGTGTAATCCTCTTGGATAAGTAGTTTCTGATGCTTGAATGCCTGTCACAAGGAAAGTTACTTTCTGTTTAAAGTGCTCTTGCCATTAAGATATAGTCTACAGTACCACAACCACCCCTACCCAATCGTGCCTTCCTTCTAGTCCTCATTCTTGTTTCCATCTACGTCTCCCACCTGTTTATGCTGTGCGGCAGCTTCCCCACATGCTGCCGACAGAGGCCGCCTTTTCCGCAGCAGCATCGGCCTTGGGTTTGTCATCTAGTGACAGCATAGTGGTGTACGATGGCAAGGGACTCTTCAGCGCTGCTAGAGCGTGGTGGTGAGTGGTTCAGTGCGGTGACAAGTGGTTGGGTATGTCATCGTAGTGGTCGGGTTGGATTGTCATCTATCCAGGTGACAGCATAATGTTGTACGATGGCAAGGAGATATTGAGTCATGCTGTCATATTATGATGAGACGATTTTTGAGTCGGAATCAAATATTGTCATATCACATGCGGGTTGTCATCTATCCAGGTGCCAACATAATGTGTACGATGGCAAGGACATATTGAGCCATGCTGTCATATCATGTATACTACAAAGTGATGCTCAAAAGTGGGTAGGATTGACATTGTGTTACACGTGTTCTTTGTATGATGGCAAGGACATGTTGAGTGCTCCCATGTCATGGCTGGTCGAAACTGGGTGGGTCTGGCATCGTGTTGGTTTAACACTTCACCCACCCCGCCTTCTCCTTTCCTTTCCTCCCCCCCCCCCCCCCCCCCCCCCCCTCCTCCCATCGGACACAGGATGTTCCGTGCATTTGGCCAGCCACACGTGGCAGTGCTGGACGGCGATAAAGCCAGACAGCTCACGTCTGCAGCCGCTTCTTCTTTCCCCACCCCGTCCCTCCCCTTCTTCCTCCCGTTCCATTGTTTCAACACACTCAGGATGTTCCGTGCATTTGGCCAGCCACACGTGGCAGTGCAGAGGTGAGCAACAGTATTGACATCTCACACCTGCCGCCCCTCCTTTCCCCGCCCCGCTCCTCCCCTTGTTCCTTCCCTTCCTCCCAACGCACACAGGATGTTCCGTGCATTTGGTCAGCCACACGTGGCAGTGCTGGACGGCGGGCTGCCAGCCTGGCGGGCGGCAGGCTACCCAGTGGAGGCAGAGCCTTCGGACAAGGCGGCCGGGCGGCACAAGGCGGCTGTTACCGCCATCAAGGACAGTTACTCTAAAAAGGTACGTATCGGGTTGGGCGGTGACATTGTTGTTTGGGCGGCAGGCACGCCCCATCCGGTGGGCACACAGCCGTTTGACAGGACTGCTGGGCGGCATAAAGCAGCTGAAGGATGTCCTGGGTGCTCCCTTTTTCTCTTTCCGTTTTCTCTCTTTGTTTTCTCTTTTCGTTTTTCCTCTTCGTGTTTCTTTTCGTTTTCTCTCTTAGCTGTCGTTCGTCTCTCTCTCTCCGCATTGATTCGCCTCTATGCATCAGCTCTCCTCTTGAAGCATATGGGCTGAGGCACCTCAGAAACCCCTTTGAAGCACTGATGTCCATTTCTCGCTTCTGCACCGCCCCGCTTGCACTCATGTCCCTTTCTCTCTGGCTCTGTGTCTCCACCGCTCTCCAACCATCCAGGCCGCATCCAACCGCCTCCTCACCTTCAATGCCAAGCTGCAGCCGAGCCTCATCCTGTCCGTTGATCAGGTGTGTGTCCCTCCTCCTTCGTTAGATTGTGCCTGCCCGAAATTATGCCTGCCCCAGATAAGGCCTGCCCCAGATAAGGCCTGCTTCAGATAAGGCCTGCCCAGATAAGGCCTGCCCCAGATAAGGCCTGCTTCAGATAAGGCCTGCCCAGGTAAGGTCTGCCTCAGATAGGCCTGCCATAACTTTAAGCCATAAACTTGTCTGCGTCGGCTGGCTCTTTCATGCACTTCTCCTGTCTGACTCTGATAATGTTCTTCTTAACCTTTGCATGTGACTTTTGAGTCGACTCAAAAGTCACCTTGTCTGCTTCTGCCGGCTCTTTCATTCACTTCTTCTGCTTTCTGACTCTGGTAACGTTCTTCTTAACCTTTGCATGGCTTCAGGTGAAGGCTAATATCGAGAATAAGGTGTATCAACTCAGCGATGCCCGCTCTGCTGGCAGGTGCGTTGTGGTTAGGTTGGGTGTGACGTGGTGGCGTGGGGTGGGGTAGGGTGGGGTGGGGTGGGGTGCGGTGTAAGCAACATGCAGTTCTGTGGGTGGAAGCATGGGGATGTGCTCTGCAGAAGTACCATGGAGATGCTTTGCAGTTGATGGCATGGCAGAATGGTGGCATGGCATGACACCCGCTGTGCCCCTTGTGCACTTGTGTATTGCCGGTGCTTGCCTGCTGTGAAAGAAGGTTGGTTTAAGACAGTCTCAAAACCAACCTCCTTTCACGGTGGCACGATACCCGCAGTGTCCCTTGTGTAATTGTGTGTTGCCAGTGCTTACCTGCTGTGTATGGTTTTGTGACTTGTTGCGGAAATGCTATCAATACAAGAAACTCAAGTCTTCTCATTATGCTCCCCCAACTGTAACTGCCCCTAAGCTCGTGTGTAACAAGGCAAGTTTGTCTGCTCTCGCGTGTGCATGCATGTCTGCTATTGTGCATGTATGCATGCGTGTTTGATGTTATGCATGTCTGCTCTTATGCATATGTGCAAGCAGGTTTAAGGGCATAGACCCTGAGCCAAGGGCAGGAGTGCGAGGAGGAAGCATCCCAGGAAGCTTCAATGTCCCCTTTCCCGAGGTAAATTCCAGCCAATTGCGAGTCAGTACTCTTATGAACTCATTCCCAGCATTGCAGAAATCTTTTCAGAACAATCATTAGCATTGATAAAAAAAATCGATTAGAATCCCAATGCTGCCTCTCCCTTCTGCCTATCACTGCCCACTACCCAATGTCCCGCCAGGTCCTGACCCCACAGGGGCAGCTGAAGCCTGCCTCAGACCTTACCCAAGCCTTCAAGAGTGCAGGCAAGTCCAACGCACCTGGTTGGCCATGGGGAAGGGAAAGGAGAAGGGATTGGCCGTTTTCTTGCAAATGTGCATTTCCCGATATCCTCTCTGCATTGATCTGTCCTCAACCCTTTCCTTTATATGTGAGGCGCGTCAAGAATCCTCTCTGTACCCTCCCTTGCCAATCCTCCAGCGACCTCCCCCCTGCCCTGTTTCTTCCTTCCCCAGTGATTTTTCTGTGTTGTCCTCCTCTCCCAGTGTCTATGCTTGCAGTCGTTTTTTTAGCCACCTCAGAATCGGATTTTCCCCAGCACTGCTTCTTCCTCCCCGGTGGTTTATCTGTGCTGACCTCCTCTCCTGCTGTCTATCCATGCAGGAGTCAACATTGAGGACCCAAAGCAGCCTCTGGCTGCCTCATGTGGCACGGGAGTCACTGCCTGTGTGCTCGCGCTGGTACGTGTGCTGCACCGCACTGCACCACAATGCACCATACTGCATCCCAATGCATCATAGCACCGTGCTCATAGTAGAGTTTCTGCCTGCCTCATGTGGCATGGGCGCCACTGCATGCGTGCTTGCTCTGGTACGTGTGCTGCACCGCACTGCACCACAGTGCGTCACAGTGCGCCACAGCGAACCACAGTCCACCACAGTGAACCACAGTCCACCGCAATGCGTCATAATGCATCGTATTGCTGCCCATAGTAGAGCCTCTGGCTGCCTCATGTGGCACAGGAGTCACCACCTGTGTGCTCGCTTCTGCATCTCGTGTTTCTTCCCTCTCTGCTCTCCCTCCTCACAGGCTCTGGCTCGCCTGGGTCGGTGGGACGTGCCAGTGTGTGACAGCTCATGGACTGAACAGAGGGGAAACCCTTCTTGTGCATGCCCTCTCCCTCACGCTCTGCTATTTGCATATCTCTCCCTCATCTCTCCCTCTCTGCTCCCTTTGCTGCAGGCTCTGGCTCGCCTGGGTCGGTGGGATGTGCCGGTGTGTGACAGCTCATGGACTGAGTGGGGTAGTGCTCCTTGTGTACCTCTTCATCCTCCCACTCTGCAAATCGGCTCCCTTTCCCCCATCTCCATTTCCTGTTTCTCCGTCTCTGCTCTCCCTCCTCACAGGCTCTGGCTCGCCTGGGTCGGTGGGACGTGCCTGTGTATGACGGCTCGTGGATTAAACAGAGGGGAAACCCTTCTTGTGCATGCCCTCTCCCTCACGCTCTGCTTGTTGCATATCTCTCCCTCTTCACTCCCACGCCTTTCCTTTGCTGCAGGCTCTGGCTCGCCTGGGTCGGTGGGACGTGCCGGTGCATGATGGCTCATGGACTGAGTGGGGTAGCCTGCAGGACACACCCGTTGTCAAGGCCGAGTGATGGCATATGGTGGCTCCTGAACCTTTCTCCCTTTCTGCTCCCCCTCGCTGCAGGCATTAGCTCGTCTGGGTCGGTGGGACGTGCCGGTGTATGATGGCTCGTGGACTGAGTGGGGTAGCCTGCAGGACACGCCGGTTGTCAAGGCGGAGTGACGGCATGCAGTATCCAATCCAATACATTGAAAATAGGAATGGGTATTATGCGCGACCCATGAAAAGTCTGTTTAGCACTGAATAGAACGGTCAGGATACTAGTTTGCTGAGTCGCACATTGAAGGATTATGTTGGTTCGTAGGTATCTGGTTACCATACTAGTAAATGTTCCTGCCTGGTGGCTGTCTTGTTATTGGTTTGGAGTAGGCTGAGGCTGGAAGTCTGGAACTTGGAATGTGTAAGGAAAATCCCTTTTCCTTACTACGCGTCCCTGCTTACCGCGTACATGCCTGTTCCCGCCATCGGCACCCATCCGTGAACGTTACCCGCTCGCGACATTCGCCTCGACCACGACTCCCGCCACTGTTCACGATGCGACCCAACCTCACGGTTCGGTTGGTAACCCGCGCTCCGGACCTCCGCCTCGACAATTCCCAACCTCGCCGCTAGGCCCGTAGCGCACCCCAATTTCCCGCATTACCGTTACCACGCTAGCTTCGCTATATAACTTCGCTCATGCTTTTCGCTCAACTGTATTGATTGCTTCGATAGTGCAATTCTCACTCGCTCGTTCAATTGCACTCCTAACACTTGGTATTCAGAGCCTACAATCTCCTCTCGGACCGCGCCCGCACCTTCGCTTCCCCATTATCTCAATTTTTGGGGGGGGTAGACGTCTCTCAGCGACCAAGCACCGCCCCCGAAGTGCTCTCTCGTAAGCACGCACGGCCACGACAGAGGCTCTCGCTGAGCTTGCCCGACACCCCCGCCATGGCCGAAATTACTCTCGCGACATTGACGCAGGAGCAGCTCGACCGTCTCGTACGCCAACTCGAAGATTCGGCGCTCGAAATCGCGACACTCACGGCGGAACGAGACTCCGCCCGCCAGCAATCAACGGTGAATGCGCCAGCTCCATCACAAGGACCCGCAAATGTACCTGCGCAATCAGAAGAACCGATCGTCATCTCATCAGGCACACCGACGCAAAACGACAACGTGGGACAGCGCTCAGGCGCAGCCAGTGATGGCGCCGCTCAATCGATGCCTGGCATGGAGAGAAATCGGGCCGCGCCAAGCCCGCGTGGGCCTCGCGAAGCTCGTCGGCATGTGGAGTTTGCAGCAACAAGTGGCAGCCACGACATCATGGCACCAATGCCACTCAAGCCGCAGCGCCCGCCCTGTTTCGATCCGAGCCAACGTGGAGGTCCGACGGTTCAATCGTGGGTCTTCACGATGAACGTTTTCTTCGACGCGAATTACGTCGAGTCGGACGCAGCGAAGATTCGCTACGCTGTTTCGCTGCTGAGGGGCCCCGCCATGGACTGGTGGCGAGTCATCGTGACGTCGCCACGCGCCTACGAGCCACCGTCGCAAGAGGAAGGGCCCACGGGTCCAGCCGTCACCTGGAGTTCATTCTGCGAAACAGCCCAGTACAGCACGTGGGATGCATGGTGCGCAGGGCTTCGGGCGCGCTTCGAGCCGATCGCGGCTTCTATTTCGGCGCGTCAGAGATTGCGTACTTGGCGGCAACTCGGGTCGGTTCAAGACTACACGGGTGGTTTTCTCGCATTATGCGAGCAAGTCGGCTACATGCACGAAGCGGAGCGGGTGGACCGTTACGTTGGAGGGCTGAAGCCGGACATCTCGTACGAAATCATGCTACGCGGACTCTCGAATTTCAACGAGATTCTCGCGCTCGCCGAGAAAATCGATATCTTACGCCGTCCGAGACCGGGGTCCTACTACGGACATCGCCCTCGGGGACCGATCGAGCACGCCACTGTACATGCCGTTGCGACAAATGCAGCTGCCGCGCCGTTTAAGGGGCGCTGATTTGCTTGCAATAGGCCGGGCCATCGCAAGAGTGAGTGCCTAGAGGAGCTGAAGCGCCGCGGAGCAGAGCAGGGGAGGGAGTCTCCAAGGCAGGGAAACGCCAGCAGTCAGTAGGAATCGGGCCAACTACTGACGAGATTGCCTGCTCGCCCAACCTCACCGACCCTCACCGAGTCACAGTACCGGTTCATGCTATCGATCGGGCTCGGACGAATAAGGAGGGTACAGCGACGGATTGCCCAGTACTGATCCACGGGAAAATACAGGGAGCAGCAGTGAAGATTTTTATAGACGGAGGAGCAAGTCACAGTTTAGTTAATACCGCGACCGCCCAGAAGCTGCAACTGGCACTTAGTCGGTGTTTACCGGAAATAGATGCACGCTTAGTGGACGGAACGCCGCTGGCCATACGGGAGAAGGTGGAGAGAGCAAAGGTCCGCTGCGGGGGGAACTTTGGGTTTACACAGGAAATGCTCGCGATGACATTGGATGGGCACGACATTTTACTGGGACGTGATTGGCTGCGACGGTATAACCCGCGAATCGACTGGACGACGGGTAGTTGCACTGTGCGAAGTAGCGGTAACTGGGTCGTGCTACCTCGCTGGCAGTCGTCCGAGTCTTCAACGGTCCACGTCAACGCCATCACGATGAAACGGGCTGTCGCCACTGGAGCTGACGTGTACGCAGTGGATATAGCATTGGTAGGAAAAGCAGAGCAGCCGAGCGATTTTCAGAAACTGTTGGCAGCAGTACCGCCCGAACTACAGGAACTGTTGAAACGGTACCCGGTGATTTTTCCGGACGATTTACCGGAGGGACTGCCACCTCAGCGGGCACATGACCACCGAATAGAGTTAGAACCGGGGGCACAGCCAACTGTACAGCGACAATTCCGACTGACACAGCCAGAGCTCGATGAACTGAGGAAGCAGTTAGATTACCTGTTAGAGAAAAAAATCATCCTGTGCCATCCACCAGCCAACTGCCTCGAAACCGCCCCGCCAGCATGACACGACCACCGACAGAGCCAACCATCACGCCCGAAAAAATACTGAGCCACCGAGTGCGTGACCCACGGGGAGCCCGCAGGATCGAATTCCTAATCCGCTGGAAAGACCGCACGCCAACCGAAGACAATTGGGTTCCCCTGGATAGAATTGAGAATCACCCTGTCTTGACTGAGTACCTGCGTAGCCGAAACTTTCGAGATGTACACGCGCTCTCGTAAGAGGGGCCTCCTTGGGGAGGGGGGTAGTGTAAGGAAAATCCCTTTTCCTTACTTCGCGTCCCTGCTTACCGCGTACATGCCTGTTCCCGCCATCGGCACCCATCCGTGAACGTTACCCGCTCGCGACATTCGCCTCGACCACGACTCCCGCCACTGTTCACGATGCGACCCAACCTCACGGTTCGGTTGGTAACCCGCGCTCCGGACCTCCGCCTCGACAATTCCCAACCTCGCCGCTAGGCCCGTAGCGCACCCCAATTTCCCGCATTACCGTTACCACGCTAGCTTCGCTATATAACTTCGCTCATGCTTTTCGCTCAACTGTATTGATTGCTTCGATAGTGCAATTCTCACTCGCTCGTTCAATTGACAGAATGAGACAAATCAATGCAGTGAGTTTTCACAAAACCGGAACCTTACCAGCTTGCAGGAACCATCCACGATACAAGCACACACACGACACTGCATTGTGCTGCGCTCTCCCCCAACTAACACCATACATGCATTCCTATAACACGCTAGACCATACCAACTTATGGTGGATGGCTGTGTCCTGAGACCTGTCCACTCATTTGAGGTGGAGTACACCTGGCTGTCAGAATCCCCAGTGCAGGTCTTCCGACACTGGCTCCACTAATTAGGAAAACCCAACTCAACCCTGATCAATAGCCTGTGTCCACTAGTGGATCACCATGAATTTCCACTAGCCGGGGGCTCCCTGAGGCACCTCCAACACAAAGCCACTAGTTGGAGTTCAACCCCAGAGCCAGCTTCAGTCTGGTCACTAGCTCCTCCTTCCTCCCTCTGATCGACAGCCCCTTCTCCTTCAAACACGCTCTCAGCCTCTCAACAGTCAACCCATCCACATCCCGCTCGCTCGTCATCCCCTTTATAGTCCGCCCCGCTTCCCGATCCTGCTCCATTCCGCCGCCACCGCCGCTGCTTCCCACGCCCGGGCCTCGTTTCGCGGGTCTCCCGCCGGATCTCGACGCACCAATCGCGTCGTCTTGACCTGGATCACCAGTAGCAGGCCTCTTGCCTTTATCTTGCAGTCCGGATTGACGTGATCTAGTGTCATGAGCTGATGCAGCAGCACCAGCAGCACCAGTACCAGCAGCAGCAGAACCGGAAATACCAGGAGCACCGATACCAGCAGCAGAGGCACCAGAAGCACCAGAAGCTGTCTTCTTCCCCTTGTCTTGTGCTGCCTTCGCCGCTTCCGCGTCGCGCGTCTTCTTCATGGTGAGCGCGCGAAGCAGGATGTTCGTCGGATCGGTCGTGATGACCTGATCGGACGGCGGAGACGTGTCGTGGTCGCAGATGTAAACGGGGATCGACGACGACAGCGTGCACGCCGCCGCGGAGAAATTGCCGCGAGACGGGAGGTTCGCGAGAAGGGACGACATGGCTGCCAAGGAAACTCGTAACCCTAGAAACCGGGTGGCAAAATTAGGGAGAAAAGACCTGGTAACAACTTCTGAAACGTCTGAGTGGTGGCGCTAAAGAGCAGGTTACAATTGCCCCACTCCAGCGTGGTATTCTCTTTTAGACTTCTTTTAGAGTTAACTGCTCGGGAGCACCGAGGAGGACGCAGGCAGCGAAGGGATGAAAGGCAGCGTCCCGACGCGAAAAAATGAAGGCAGCAAGCTCTCAATACACGAGCGCTGATCGTGGCGACAAGAGACGGAACACGGCGGAAAACGGCGGAACAAGCAACTGCTACGACCAGTCGGGCTAGCCCAAATCGCTGACCGGAGGCTAGATGTTTTACGACAATTCTCTAAGATACGAGCTTCAGGTAAACCACTAAACTAGCACGTGAATAGATGCACAGCACAGCAGCCATGGCGGAACCTGGTGAGATGGATGGAGTGAGAAGAAGCAGCAGGGCCAGCAGTCACCGAACCGAACCAAAGCGGAAACCGCAGAACCTCGTCCGATTTCCACTAGCACCCTTGCTGCAACAGCTGGCTCGGTATCATGCATGTTCAATTCACTTATCCTCGTTATGGCGTGATCAGCGGTAAGCCTAAAAGACGTGAAACTTTGCTCAGTGATTATGCGTTATGGACTGACACATAATGATACCATCTCGTCTCAGTTATTATGTGGTGCATGCTGCTTTGTAGACTCATTGCAATACACGACACTGATTGAGCGTGCTGAATCTGTACAGGCATAACAGATGTATTATATTGTTAACATTAATATAATGAGAACTTCAAAGCACTGGGCGTCGACGTACTCTTTACTAACAGTCCTTTATGGTAGGCTGCACAGGGCACACAGAGCCAAGCCATAGCTCCAACATGGCCATGGATACAGGCCAAGAATAATGCGTCCCATCCTTTGATAGGTCTGGCCTTGAGAGTGTCATGGGTATGGTTGAGATGAAAGGAACCTTCCATGAATTGATCAGGCTGCACAAGCAAACAAGGAGACAAGGAAGTGAGAACAGAATGCCATTCACAAAAAGACAGTTGCTCAGGGAATGCAAGAAGTTGATTGGCAACAGCAACGTGCAACATGAGCAACAGAGGAGAGCCCGAGTGCTAACCTGTGGGCAGCGGCGTCGAAAGCAGAGAGGCGGGGGTGGTTCATGGAAGGCAGCAGGTCAGGAGCAACTGCTGACTGTTGCACTGCCCACGGCCCCAACCACACCAAGTGACTCAAATATAGCTTGAGGGATGTGCTAACCTGTGTGCGGCGGCGTCGAAAGCAGAGAGGCGAGGGTGGTTCATAGAAGGCAGCAGGTCAGGAGCAACTGCTGACTGCTGCACTGCCCACGGCCCCAACCACACCACTGCTGACCCCGGCCCTCCCAAGCCGCCATTCACAGCGAATCGCACCGACGCCACAAACTCCCGATCTGCGGAGAGATAAGGGCACGAACACATTGAAACGGCAAAGAAATCATCTAATTTTTAGTCGATTTGAAAGCCATCTCATTCACAGCAGAGCGCACCGACGCAAAAAACTCCCGGTCTGCGAAGAGAATAGGGCACGTATGTGTAAGGAATGAACACGTATGCCCCAATACAGCGGAGTGACCAGATAAATGGTCCTTATTGTAAGGCTTTTAGTCCAAGCATCCAGGTTCGCTTGTGTGCACAAAAAACTCTGAAGTGTGGAAAACACATTCTGAACAAAGCCGCTGTGCATGGTGCGTGTCCCTGAACACATGACTTACAAGAAACCCTTTTTTTTTTTACGGTCTCACATTTCAGGCCACGGACAGCTTACCAAGAGCGGCGGCATATTCTTCCGGCGAATCGAAAGCCGCCAGGTCATGCAGCCCACTGGACGCCAGCACAAAGTCAAACGGCGCGTGCTCATTGGCCAGCGGGCCACGCCTCGTGTGGTTCACCATCCACTCCCGGTACAGCGGCTCTGACGCGTTCGAGTGCGCCACAAACACTGCCACAATCTGGTCGGCATCTGCCGCCCGCTGCCGCTCCCTCTCCTGCTCCTCCTCCCGAATCCTGCTCGCTGTGCGGAGATCCCGAGGGTCCTCGTCTGTAGCTGACATGTCGAGCACGTCCCGGCCTTCCAACCAATCATACTGCTCCACTCCTCCTTGGCTTCTGTCCCCGCTCCACCTCCTCCTGCTGCTGCTGCTGCTGCTGCTGCTGCTGCTGCTGCTGCCACTAGTCGTTCCGGCACTGCTTGCAGAGTGATCATCCTGGATCCGCCTGCGCTTCTTCTCGCTGATGGACGCTGAATCCGTGCTGGTTGCATTCAGATCCACTGGGATTCTGTCCGGAATCGCGGCATCAGGATTGCGCGATGGTGACAGCAGGGGGTGGGGCAAGGGGAGAGCAGGTAAGGCAGGAACCGAGAGGTCTGGCAGGTATGGAGATTGACCTGGTCATGCAGAAGCATTTATTGTTTGAATCGAGGCACCAAGAGCACAGGATGGGGTAAAGAAAAAAACAAAACAAAACAAACCAAAACAAAGCACCCTAGTGGCACAGTAACCAGCTTAGGGCGCGTAACCATTTTACACCCGACGGTTCGAACTGCGGACCGTCCGGTCTGGCGAAATGTAACCTATTTCGCTTAATATCGGAAGGATATTCGCAGAGGTGTTGGCGACGTCGCCAACAAAACGGACTGTCGTGACACTTTTTTCACATTTTCAACAGTCCGCAATGTGAACCGTGGACTGTCCGAAACCCAAACGGACGGTCCATCAGTCCTGGCTATATATTGGCGGACGAAATTCAATGTACAGTACCTCCTTACGATTGGCGAACGAAGTTTTACGTCGACGTGTCACGGACGGTCCCGTTCTCGATAGTAGGACCGTCCGCTTCGTTTAAATCGTACTGTCCGTCAAAACTGTAAAATGCAAAATGGTTACGCGCCCTTAGTACAGTAACGAGCTCAGTAACCATCACCCTACCTTGCAACTGCGAATCCGTTGCCCTCTGCACCATAGTAGGTGGCGCCAACAGTGGGGGCGAAGTAGGTGTGGTGCACTGCCACGTGCTGCCCTTCTGACCCCGGCACCCATGGCACAGGGCCCTGCATGTGCGCCTGATGGGATTTAGAGTGTGGAGAGAAAAAGAAGGGAAATACAAATTACAATGCATGAGTCCCTTTTTGAGTTGGTTGGTGGCAACAATAGTAAGGCGAGGTATGTGTGGTGCATGGCCACGTGCTGCCCTTCTGACCCCGGCACCCACGGCACAGGCCCCTGCATGTGCGCCTGGCGGGGTTCAGAGAGCAGGGAGAGAAGGAGACCACACAGCCTGCACACCATGAGCATTAACACAATACGACGGACTGCTTTGAAAAAGAGGACATACAACTACAATCCATGAACCCCCTCGTATTCCGCCTTTCAGAATCTGCCACCAAAGGAACCAGTACGTAAAGCAAGCGCCCTCTTTCATTCTCCTTTTCCCTTCCCTCCAACTTAGCACACACTTCCATTCCATCCAGCACTCACCTTGTCGCATTTGAGACGAACGAGGGAGGAGCAGCGGTCGCCCAGGTCTTGCAGGAGGCGGCAGCGGGAGAGCAGGTGAGGGGGGCTTTTCTAATCCCTGTCAATATCCTTCCCTCAACTCAGCACCCACCTTGTCACATCTGAGGCGAACCAAGGAGGAGCGGCGGTCGCCCAGGCCTTGGAGGAGGCGGCAGGGCAGCCGGTAAGAAGCACCTTTCCTGTTCCCTGCTTCTAAACTTCCCCCCAACACCCAGCACTCACACACCTTGTCACAGCGGAGGCGAACGAGGGAGGAGCGGCGGTCGCCCAGACCTTGCAGGAGGCGGCAGCGGGAGGAGGAGGAGAGGAAGGAGAGCAGGTGCGAGAAGAGCACCCACTGCTGGCTGTCCCCCACCACCAGCAGCCGCTTGCCCTTCAAACACGTGCGTGCAGCACTGGTGGATATGGGGAAAGAGAGGATGAATGCTAATGAGTGGCGTATCCCAGTGGGCGTGTGCAAGAAGAGCACCCACTGCTGGCTGTCCCCCACCACCAGCAGCCGCTTGCCCTTCAAACGCGTGCGTGCAGCACTGGTGGATATGGGGAAAGAGAGGGTGAATGCTAATGAGTGGCGTATCCCAGTGGGCGTGTGCAAGAAGAGCACCCACTGCTGGCTGTCCCCCACCACCAGCAGCCGCTTGCCCTTCAAACGCGTGCGTGCAGCACTGGTGGAGATGGGGAAAGAGAGGGTGAATGCTAATGAGTGGCGTATCCCAGTGGGCGTGTGCAAGAAGAGCACCCACTGCTGGCTGTCCCCCACCACCAGCAGCCGCTTGCCCTTCAAACGCGTGCGTGCAGCACTGGTGGATATGGGGAAAGAGAGGATGAATGCTAATGAGTGGCGTATCCCAGTGGGCGTGTGCAAGAAGAGCACCCACTGCTGGCTGTCCCCCACCATCAGCAGCCGCCTGCCCTTCAAACGCGTGCGTGCAGCACTGGTGGATATGGGGAAAGAGAGGGTGAATGCTAATGAGTGGCGTATCCCAGTGGGCGTGTGCAAGAAGAGCACCCACTGCTGGCTGTCCCCCACCACCAGCAGCCGCTTTCCCTTAGTGCACGCGCGTTCAGCACTACATGGGAGCGATACGTTTGGTGATGCACAAGCAAATCAGCACTACAAGCACAGCCTTACTGATGTGCAGGCTCTGTTCTGTAGTGATTTGACCTGGTATGTAGCATGAGTGGGTGAAATGTTTTCGAGTCTCAGGGTTTAGGGTTCATGAAACAAGATTCGACGTTCACGTCGGAAGGGTTGCGTAGGACTTGCGTAAGACATGATGAAGTGCTCGATATTATACTTATGGTGTGTAGAGAAAGCAACGAACTATGTCTCTTTATAACATGCTTGTAAGTTCTTTATTCTGTTATTCCTCATGGTAATTTTTTTACCATTGATTTTTGTTAATGGGAAAATATTTAGAGAATATAACTATATTTGTGCTACTAAGCAATATTGTTTTCTAGTGAGTTTGTGTATTTGCAGTCAAATCTTATGTGTCACAAACAGCTAAAATAATCATCTACAACTTTCTTGATTTTGGCGAGTATAACGGGACTGGTGTATTTCGATTGTGAAAACTGGTTCGTGCGTCGTTGGCTGAAAATTTTCTTGCCAGCGCTACACAAACCCAACCAAACCCAAGAAACCCTTCCCTTACCCCACTGTCAACTCTGCTCCCTTGGGAGTCCCGTCCGTTTCTTGAATTCAAGCACCTGCTCGACTCTGACCTACCCAAATACCTTCCCAACCCCGTCGCCATTCCCTACCAATCGCGTTTTTAGAACCACCTTGCCGTCACCTCTCCCTCACTCCCCGCCGTCGCCTCTCCTCACCCCCCACCGTCGCCTCTCCCTCCCTCCCCGCCGTCGCTCTCCCTTCCTCCTCGTCGTCGCCTCTCCCTCCCTTCCCGCCGTCGCCTTTGGTGGGTTGCTGCACGACCACTCGTTGTTTTCTTAGGCACGGTTGTCTCAGGTGCGTTTCCTTCTCCCTCTCTCCGAAATGTCATATTTTTTCCACTTTCCTCGTAAGTTCTCAATGCCGATTGGTCTCCTCTTAGCATTGTGCCTCCATTTTAAGAAGGGGAGAGAGGGAGTGTGAGGGAGTGTGTGCGCACGGGAGCGAGCACGCAGGCGCATAGCGCGCTGGCGCCTAACGGGCTGGCGCCAAACGCGCTGGCGCTTAGCGCGCTGGCGCCTAACGCGCAGGCGCCTAGCACGCTGGCGCTTGATGCGCTGGCGCCTAGCGCGCTGGCGCCTAGCGCGCTGGCGCCTAATGTGCAGGCGCCTAGAGCGCTGGCGCCTAACGCGCTAGCGCCTAGCGCGCTGGCGCTTGCTGCGCTGGCGCCTAACGCGCTGGCGCCTAGCGCGCTAGCGCATAGCGCGCTGGCGCCTAGCGCGCTGGCGCTTGCTGCGCTGGCGCCTAACGCGCTGGCGCCTAGCGCGCTAGCGCATAGCGCGCTGGCGCCAAACGCGCCGGCGCCTAGCGCGCTGGCGCCTAACTCGCTGGCGCCTTACGCGCTAGCGCCTTACGCGCTGGCGCCTAACGCGCTGGCGCCTTACGTTTGGCGCCTTACGTTTGGCGCCTTGCAGGTGCCCTCGCAGCGCGCTGGCACCTTGTAGCGTGCTGGCGGCTTGTGCGCTGCTGCATTGTTTGCGGCGCTGGCAAATTCCTGCAGCAGCCTTGTTGCAGCAGCGCGCTGGTAAATTATTGCGCACGCTCACGCGTTGCTGCAGTGAGCTCACGCGTTGCTGCAGTGAGCTCACGCCTTGCTGCAGTGAGCTCACGCCTTGCTGCAGTGAGCTCACGCCTTGCTGCAGTGAGCTCACGCGTTGCTGCAGTGAGCTCACGCGTTGCTGCAGTGAGCTCACGCGTTGCTGCAGTGAGCTCACGCGTTGCTGCAGTGAGCTCACGCGTTGCTGCAGTGAGCTCACGCGTTGCTGCAGTGAGCTCACGCCTTGCTGCAGTGAGCTCACGCCTTGCTGCAGTGAGCTCACGCCTTGCTGCAGTGAGCTCACGCGTTGCTGCAGTGAGCTCACGCCTTGCTGCAGTGAGCTCACGCCTTGCTGCAGTGAGCTCACGCGTTGCTGCAGTGAGCTCACGCCTTGCTGCAGTGAGCTCACTCCTTGCTGCAGTGAGCTCACGCGTTGCTGCAGTGAGCTCACGCCTTGCTGCAGTGAGCTCACGCCTTGCTGCAGTGAGCTCACGCCTTGCTGCAGTGAGCTCACGCCTTGCTGCAGTGAGCTCACGCCTTGCTGCAGTGAGCTCACGCCTTGCTGCAGTGAGCTCACGCGTTGCTGCAGTGAGATCACGCCTTGCTGCAGTGAGCTCACGCGTTGCTGCAGTGAGCTCACGCCTTGCTGCAGTGAGCTCACGCCTTGCTGCAGTGAGCTCACGCCTTGCTGCAGTGAGCTCACGCCTTGCTGCAGTGAGCTCACGCCTTGCTGCAGTGAGCTCACGCCTTGCTGCAGTGAGCTCACGCCTTGCTGCAGTGAGCTCACGCCTTGCTGCAGTGAGCTCACGCCTTGCTGCAGTGAGCTCACGCCTTGCTGCAGTGAGCTCACTCGTTGCTGCAGTGAGCTCACGCCTTGCTGCAGTGAGCTCACGCCTTGCTGCAGTGAGCTCACGCCTTGCTGCAGTGAGCTCACGCGTTGCTGCAGTGAGCTCACGCCTTGCTGCAGTGAGCTCACGCGTTGCTGCAGTGAGCTCACGCGTTGCTGCAGTGAGCTCACGCCTTGCTGCAGTGAGCTCACGCCTTGCTGCAGTGAGCTCACGCCTTGCTGCAGTGAGCTCACGCCTTGCTGCAGTGAGCTCACGCCTTGCTGCAGTGAGCTCACGCCTTGCTGCAGTGAGCTCACGCCTTGCTGCAGTGAGCTCACGCCTTGCTGCAGTGAGCTCACGCCTTGCTGCAGTGAGCTCACGCCTTGCTGCAGTGAGCTCACGCCTTGCTGCAGTGAGCTCACGCCTTGCTGCAGTGAGCTCACGCCTTGCTGCAGTGAGCTCACGCCTTGCTGCAGTGAGCTCACGCCTTGCTGCAGTGAGCTCACGCCTTGCTGCAGTGGAGCTCACTCGTTGCTGCAGTGAGCTCACGCCTTGCTGCAGTGAGCTCACGCCTTGCTGCAGTGAGCTCACGCCTTGCTGCAGTGAGCTCACGCCTTGCTGCAGTGAGCTCACGCCTTGCTGCAGTGAGCTCACTCGTTGCTGCAGTGAGCTCACGCCTTGCTGCAGTGAGCTCACGCCTTGCTGCAGTGAGCTCATGCCTTGCTGCAGTGAGCTCACGCCTTGCTGCAGTGAGCTCACGCCTTGCTGCAGTGAGCTCACGCCTTGCTGCAGTGAGCTCACGCCTTGCTGCAGTGAGCTCACGCCTTGCTGCAGTGAGCTCACGCCTTGCTGCAGTGAGCTCACGCCTTGCTGCAGTGAGCTCACGCCTTGCTGCAGTGAGCTCACGCCTTGCTGCAGTGAGCTCACGCCTTGCTGCAGTGAGCTCACGCCTTGCTACGGCAGCCCGCTTGCTCCTCTGCCGGTGCCTTGCTGCAACTCTCTAGCGCCTTGTAGCATGGCGATGCCCAGCTCGTTGCACCAATGCACCTTTCTCGCTGGAGCCACCAGCATGGTGTGCTTGACCCCAGGGGATCTATGCTTGTGAGTCGTCAAATTCGGTTTCCTTTTGTACTTATCATATTTCAACCCATACTTGCTTTTCAAGTTCTATTTCACAATCCAGTGCACGCTCGTCATTGAAATTCACTCCGTTTTCCGACTACAATTCATTTTCTACTTGACCTGTTTGTTTTGCAAGGTGTGCGAGACGCGTTGTGGGGAGCAGGGAGGGGAATTCGAGAGAGAAGACAATGTGGAAAAGGGTGGAAGGAGATTTTGATGGTGGAGGGAGAGGAAGGCAGGCGGGAAGGGGGAGGAAGGGGGGACAAGGTAGCAGTGATTGATACATAATTAACATATTGCAACTCTTTGTTATGCTTGTCTGCTCTCAATCCTATTTGTGTATGTATGTGTGTGCGGTGCGGGTGTGTTTGTGCAGGTGTGTGTTCATGTCTTCTTGTGTTTGTTTCACTGTGGGGTTGCATTTCGATGCGTTTGGTTGGATGGGTTGTGCTTTTTTTACGTGCGTTTGCATTCATGTTTGTGGGATGTGTGTCTCAAAGTGTGGTGTTAGTATGTGTCTTGTATGCAATTAGAGGTTGTTAATCGTCTTTGGGGCAGCGGGTTTTCGCTGTTTCAACGACCCCATCAACCTCTGTTGTTACATGATGCATTTTAACATTCATTTTGAAGCATCCGCCCACATTTCATACTTTGTTCATCTGTACAATTGCATTCGTTCATGTTGAAGCCATAATATTATGCTCGGCCGTACCATCCGCCGTATTAATCGACGAGCTGGGACGGTCGAACAAGTTCATGGTTTCAACATGATACGCACGTGCATAATATTTGGTTTCACATTTATGGATCTCATTCAAGAGTGGTTTTTATTCACTATTTGAGGCATCTGTTTGAACACAGTTTTAGAAGGTTCAAACGGGTGCTCCAAAGAGTGTATGAAAAATCACTCTTGATATGATATCCCCAAAATGTGAAACCAAATATATAGGGTTGCTACGCAACCCAAAAAAAGGTTTGGCCAGATGCACAGGACAGTGTTCAGAGATGTCCAGGAACTACATGAGGTGATAAATATACAAAGCAAAATTATTGCCCCGAGTGAGGATCGAACTCACGACCTTAGGATGGCTCCGCCCAGCCGAGTGGGAGTCGGAATGCTATGAGACCTACGCGCTACCGACTGCGCCATCGAGGCTTGTTGCTAGGCAATTGGAAAACAAATTAGGACTCTTACCTGGGGGCCCATGTTTTGCGAATCCTCCAAGTTTGTTTCTCCCAAGCGATCTTACCCGGGAGTGATGCGTTGAACATTGCAGGCAAAGGGGAACCACTGCTGGTCAATCCACCGCCCTGCGTTCCCCGATTCCTCCAGCACCTGTGCCGTGCATCCTGGTAGTGCCGCCTGCAGGCGAGCGTACTCCTTCTTGTACGCCTCAGGCTCTGGTGGCTGCGCGCACACACAGCGGAAAAGACTGATGTTCTTTGAACCGATTTTCCCAGCACCTGCGCGCTGAAAGCTGGCAGATGACGCATGCAGGCGGCGTAATCGTGTTTATACGTCTTTTTTGTCAACTCTAATCACCCCCTACCTGCGCAGACACGTTGTACTGGCCGACTAGCTGGAATTTGAGGTGCCTCAGGGCCTTCTCCTCGTCCCTGCTGCCAGTCAGCGAGGCGGCATGCACGCCCGTCAGGTACACGGACACCACGTACTCGCCTGGCTCCAACAGCCGGTAACACGACTGGTGGTACGGGAAGGGATTTGGGTGGGGAAGAATGCACGACTACTAACGTCAGGTACACGGACACCGCGTACTCGCCTGGCTCCAACAGCCGGTATCACGACTGGTGGTGAGAGAAGGGAATTGGATGGGGAGGAACGCGCTGTCAACGTCAGGTACATGGACACCACGTACTCGCCTAGCTCAAGCAGACGGTAGCATGACTGGTGGTGTGGGAAGGGAATCGGGAGGGAGGGACGATGGGTTAAGTGAGGAGGCATGCACGCCCGTCAGGTATACGGACACCACGTACTCGCCTGGCTCCAGCAGCCGGTAACACAACTGGTGGTACGGGAGGGAGTGAGGATTTGGAGGAATTTTGAGTCCAAAGGGGCTGTAGGTCAGACTGTATGTCATACAGTGCATGTCAGACTGCGTGCAGACTGCATAATGTTACGTCAGATCAGAGTCCCTGTCACTTCACATGCGGAACTACAACATGCCATGACAGGTCCTACAACAAGGTGCTCACAGTTCATTCGACTTAAGCCATGGCTGTCACACCACATGCAGGGACTACAGCAAGCACTGTCCGGTCCCGAAATCCGCCACCACACACGCACCACGTGGTACCCCTCGGCTGCGGCGTGCGTGACGGGCGCGTTGAGGCGGATTCGGCCGTCCGCGGAGTGAAGGAGCACCTCCCACGTGCTGGTCGGCGGCGAGCAGCCCTTGTCCAGCCGACGGCCCTCTGAATCCTGCAGTTCCAGAGAGACAGAAGGTGAGCAGGGCTTATCTGGGTCAAAAGGCGAGCAATTTTGTTGATACAACTCAAAACGAGGCGGTGGAGAGAGGATAGTTTGAAACGTGCGAGTAGGTTTCGAAGCTGGTTACGCGTCTTGACGTGAGAATGCAACCGTCGGATTTACCTGACGTGACAAAAGCAAAATGAAAGAGACATTTGGTTCCAGTAGGTCAGACAATAACGAAATGCTATAGAGCATGATCACTAGTAATCGCGCATAAGGAAGTGTCATGCTCCCAGCTCAGGAATTGACGGATGCTGAAAAAGTAACGGATGCAGTAAAATGACGTTCAATCTTCATGTAAGGAACCTCCATGACGATCAATACGCTGACACACATTTGTGATCTGAATCAGATTAGCAGTAACATTCGTTAAGTTTAAGAAGTAGTGTACCTCTGCAGCGATGTTGAAGCAGAGTTGCTGGTTGAGCTTCACGGATGGCTTGACGCCAGGACCGAACACCTTAACGTGATCCAGTCGGCCATGACTCGATCCTTTTTCGTAGCCAGTGAAGCACTCCGAAACCGGCTTCGATCTGCTACCTACATTTCCGGTGGCTAAACTAACAGGCGAGAAGGTGAGCACTAAGAACAATGCCGTTATTGCACAGAGAGACGGAATTGTTTTTAATTGATGTCGTGAGAGTGACTGATGTGAATTATATCGGCATGACGACATGATCGCAAACGGTTTCGATCGGTTCCTGACCAGAGAAGCTTTCCAGTTTAGGGTCCAAGAGCCTCGGGTTGTGGCATAAGCAGCTCGTCAAGATTCTATTGGTCAAGAGTTTACGAAACAAATACTGTTGGCTCACCTTACTAAGTCACGACAAGGAGCTATTGTGATGAAAGACGCGGTCCTATTGTGCAAGAAACGGCGAGGTGGTCTGGTGTTGAAACGGCGTCAGAACCGAAGATATGCAAGCTCTTAATCGAAGATATGCAAGCTCCTAACACATCAATAAGTCGAGAAGCAGACGATCAGAGAACCAGATGAAGGCTCATGGACAATAAAGCATCACCGTCATGTTCCCTGAACATCATAGCATAGGTATCAGGCAAGTAGAGGACAACTTCAAGGGGAAACTAGCGTGCTGTGGTACGGTTTAGTACGGTAAGGAGTGCATCCCGAATGGAGTGCCAGATGAGACAAACGCGGCGCGAGCTGGTTATGAGCGTCGACTCAAAACACAACGATGACGGCGACGGAGGGAAGACGTCTTTGTTGCTGGATGCAGCACCAGCAGCAGGACTCGGGAAGGACAGTGCAGTGCAACATGGACGCAGAACGGAGTCAGGCAGACAGGTTCGCAGAAATGGAAGCAGAATGCGGTCCGACTGTTGCAAATCGCGCGCGAAAAGGTACAAGCGTCTCTGACAGCCGTCAAGTCGCGTCAGTGGAATGAACTACACCATATGTAAAATTCCTAAAGCCGTTAAACGTAAACAGGTTAATATATACTTTCAACATCTCAACAATTAGGCCGACCTGGTAAAATAGGACTACGCAACATACAGATAAAGCCAAATGTGCTGCGATCAGAATTTGATCGTAACCAGGATCACCTCTGGAAGATTCGCACACAACTAGGTAGTGGTGGTGGGCCCTTGACCTCAAATCAGAGTGAATGTAAAATGATTGAGATAAATTAAAACATGCAAATACAAACATATAAATAAGAGTACAAGGTGGAATACGAAGCGACCTAGCTAGCCATGTACTCTAAGGGGTACATTCCCTTATTGCAGCGAAACCCAACCGTGCGACTCCAGACGGTTACGAACTGCTCGTGCAGAATCCTCGTCACTGCTGCTGCCTGATGCTGTCTGCCCCGGCGGTCCAGATGCTTCGTAACCGTACGACCCTTCGCGTCACTTCCACCTTTTCGTCTTCAGCCTCGGTACTGCATGCTTCGATTGCTACTGTCACGAGTGCACAGTAACACTTCATATTTTACTATTCGTAACACCCCCCTTCACTTCTGGCCGTAGCAGGTGTTGACCCGCTTGACTACTCCGCTGAGTTCGGAGCAGTGGTGGTACTGCTGACGTGACAGTCGCTTCGTGAGGAAGTCAGCTGCCATGTCACCCGTCGGGCAGTAGGTTAGGTCAACCTTGCCTTTGTCAACTTCGTCCTTGACGAAGAAGTACCGCAGCGCAATGTGTTTGGTGCGGTTGACGAATCCAGGCTTGTTCGCGATCCTGATCGCGCTCTGGTTGTCGCAGTGCACACGAAAGGTGGGCGAAGATGGGATTTCGCCTCCTGTAGGAGCTCCTGTAGGTAAAGCCCCTCGCGAACTACTGCTGTTGCGGCGATGAACTCTGCTTCCGCTGATGACAGGGCAACCAGCTCCTGTTTCTGCGAATTCCAAGAGATGGGTCTGGTTGGCTCGAGGCGGAACAGGAACCCTGTTCTGGACCGTCGATTGTCGGGGTCAGCAGCGTGATCGGCGTCCATGTAGCCGATGCGGCTGAATGAGGTGGTTGGGACTGTGGAACAGCAGAGCCCGACATTGGGCGTTGAGATGAAGAATTGTAGGGCCCGCTGAAGATCTAGGAGATTCTCAGCCGTTGGTTTGCGGGAGTACTGAGCCAGCTGGCTGGCGATGTACGAGAGATCGGGCCTGCAGGTAACAGAGGCAAAGAGTAGGCATCCCAGCTGCTGCTGGTAAGTCTGGAGTCCAGCGGGGGACAGGGCTTTGTTGTCAGGCTTGTGGTTGGCTCTTGGAGTGCGGTAAGGGGTGGAGAGTGGTGCAGGTGCGATGTTGAAGCACTTGCCAAGTTATTCTGCATACTTGGCTGCCGAGAGGTGAATGGCTTCTGGCGAGTAAGAGATGTTGAGCCGGAGGAACTGCTTCACGTCGTGGTTGCAGGTGATGTCAACGCGTCCTGCGAGATTCTTCTCGAACTGCTCAAGCAGTTCGTTGCTTGACCCTGTGTAGAGGAGGTCGTCGACGTAGACCGTGAGTAGGATGTATTCACCGCGGAAATCACGGGGATACATCCCTGGATCGTGAGGTAGCTGCTTGAAGCCTATTTCAAGCAGTGCTTGAAGCCTATTTCAAGCAGGATGTTGTGCAGGTACTGCTGCCAGAGCCTTGGCACCTGTTTGATTCCGTAGAGAGACCTTCGCAGTTGGCACACGCGTGAATCCCCTTCGCCGTATGTGTGCTGCTGCTCCACGTAGATCACTGCGTCCACCAGCGCGTAAAGGAACGCATTCTTCACATCGATTTGTCGGAGCGGTAGGTGTCGTGCGGCAGCGATGGCGAGGAGAATTATGACGGAGGTGTGACGGCTGACTGGCGCAAATGTTTGGTCGAAGTCGATGCCGTGCCTTTGATCGTAACCGCGCACGACCCAACGAGCCTTAAATCGCTCGATTGTGCCGTCCGCGGCGGTCTTCACGCGGAAGACCCACTTCCCGGAGAGGATTCTTCTCCCGTTGATTGCGGCGCGATCGACAAGTACCCAGGTGTCGCGGGACTCGAGCGCCCTGATTTCTGCATCCATCGCCTCGCGCCACTCTTTGTTGTGTGGTCCCGTTAGTGCCTGGCGCGGATTCTTGGGCTCGATGACACGTGGCGCCGTTGAGGTGGCGATGTGGAGCCCTAGCAGCTGCAGCCCTGAGACGGTGCTGTCGTGGCGATGCTGCGGGATGACTGTCAAACATTGTATGTGTTACATTTGTGTAGGCTATTGTGGGTTAGCCTCTAGGGGGTACAGAACTAGGTTTGACATACTTGTACTCACATTCTGCTGCTAGTCAATCATTCCTGTTTCGTACATTCTAACATGGTTTCAGAGCAGGTCCTCCGCTAGGACCGATTTTTTTTTTTTTTACGGGCCCACCACTCTGACTGTCTCCTAGCGCCCTCGTGCGCCCCACTGTCTAAGCGCCCTCGTGCGCTCCTCCTTAGAGGCCCCTTACGGCCTCGTCGACCCCTTAGCGGCCCCTCACGGCCCCGTCGACCCCGCGCGCCGCCTTTTTCACGGCCCCTTACGGCCCCGTCGACCTCGCGCGCCGCCCCTTAGCGGCCCCGCGTTCGCCCCTTAGAGGCCCCGTCGACCCCTTAGCGGCCCCTCAAGGCCTCGTCGACCCCGCGCGCCACTCCTTAGCAGCCCCTTACGGCCCCGTCGACCCCGCGCGCCGCCCCCCCTAGAGGCCCCTTACGGCCCCCCTCGACCTCGCGCGCCGCCCCTTAGCGGCCCCGTCGGCCCCGCGCTCGCCCCTTAGAGGCCCCTTATGGCCCCGTCAGAACCGAGCCGCCCCCGGCGCGCGACCGCCACGGCCCCGCCAGAACCGAGCCGCCTGAACCGAGCCGCCCGAACCGAGCCGCCCGAACCGAGCCGCCCGAACCGAGCCGCCCAGAACCGAGCCGAGCCGCGCCGCCCGAACTGAGCCGCGCCGCCCTCCCCGTACTGAGCAGCCCTCTCTGGATCGAGCCGCCCTACCTGAGTCGAGTTGACTGCTGCTTTTAGGGTTTCAGCTGCTACTACTGCTCTTACTGCAACTATGGCTAGCCCTGCTGTTCTAGCTTTCGATGCTGAGGGTCGCCCACTGAAGTTTGAGACCTGGCTCGATGACTTGCACCTGTTCCTCCAGCTCACTGCCAAGGAGGATATCTCGCTGTACAATCACGCACTAGGCAATGCTGCTGCCCCTGCTACTACTGCTGACAGTACTGCCCGTTCACAGTGGCAGACTCGTGACGCCCACGCTCGCTTTGCCATTCGCAACTCCCTGCCGGTAGATGAGCGCGAGCACTTTGGCCAGCACAAAACTGCACAGCACTGTACACTGCTGTAGTTGCGCGCTACTCCTCGCCTGCCTCTGCTACGCTAGGTCGTCTCTCGCTCCCCTACCTGTTCCCAGACCTGTCCGCTTTCGCCACAGTCGCTGACCTCACCACGCACCTCCGCACTAGTGAGGCTCGCTTTCGTGCCGCTAT